AATTATTCTTGGGCTGGACCTTAGTCATCAAACTCCAATATTTGTAATACAATAGTATAACAAAACCTCAAAGTCCCAAGCAATAGATACACTACAACAAAACCCCAACATTACTAACACTATGATATGAATATTCATTCTCAATAGGAGATACTATAGTGATGGAATTGGGCATTATCTTACAACTTCACTAATACTATAATATAAAGGACGAGGGCTTAGGTTTTATGAAAAAAAAAAAACCTTACCTTAAATTCTGATCTGGATAGCACTTTTGGCAATGAAAATCTCTATCATGGCTCTAAAATCAATTTCCAACCCCAACAATGAATATTGAAACTCAAAAAATGGTAAAGATCTTGTGGATCCATTAATACTTATTTTTAGTATAAATATACTTTTGGTATAAATATAATTTTTAGTATAAATATAATTTTTAGTGTAAATATAACTTTTAGTATAAATATAATTTTTAGTATAAATATTATTTTTGGTATAAAAAATTCTTGGGATGGCTTGATAATTTATTTTGATCTCTAATTATAAAATTTTAAACCCCAAAAATAGTTCAAATCAAGTAAATCTATAAACACATGAAAATCTTGAAAGTGGACCATCTAGATAATGTGTTGCAAGATACATTATTTTCAAGACAAAAGAAAAAAAGATCAAAACAACCTTTTATGATGGATTTTTTGGATACACCTTAATCTATATTTTAAGGTTGAACTTTATAAAAACTTTTTCCTTTAGATAATTTGTTACATTTTACATTGCTTTTAGAGTTTGAAATCTTTTTTTTTTTTGTTATTTCACAACCACAATGTTTGTTTTTTCACGACCACAATGTTTAAGCCAAGATGATTGGTGTCAAGGTTTTCTAAGGCTTGAATTGCAATTTTTGATGAGTTATGAGGTGAGGTTTTACTTGTTTTGATAGGGCTGTAGCACTGTCAAATCATTTTCCTAATATAAATGTTCATTTCACTAGGAAGGTATTCCTAACGTAGAACCATGTTCCTTAGGGGAACGTCCTTGATGTAGCCAAAGCGATGGAGCACACGATCAGGGTAGTAACCCATCGCCGGGTCATCACTGATCAACCAAACTCAACACAACCAGCTAAGTCAAGAAGCCATAATGACTAGGTCCTCTAACTCTGGTAACTTGCCAGCATATGGGATGCCAGGTGAATTGCTCAAAAAAGTAAAATCAGACTGATAAAGAGGAGCAAGTGATTCACCAGAAGTAGAAGGCTATAAACCAGGTGAACTGCCCAAAACAATAAAATCAAAATGACAAAGAGGAGCAAGTGATTCACAATAATCACAAGCAATAGAAGGTTATTTACTGTGTCCCTCTTGGTTGCACTATAGTCACTGAATTCAGCACTATCACGTGAAAAGTTATCTATCCCATATAGGAACTAATGAATCTGAAGAGTACTTTATTGAGATGATGATTTTGTGAGGCCGCAGTCATAGAACATTATAGGCATGTAATACGATCGGGAAATGGGTGGCAGTGGACCCGGACCTGACCTGGGATCCAAGGGGTAGATCTGATCTGGGTCCGATAATATTTTTTGGGTCCTAATTAACGAAATATATTTAAATATGGTTAAATGCATAGATATTTTAATTTTTGGGTCGGGTCTGGTTCCCATATCATTTTCTCATGTAGCCGGACCCAGACCCAACCCAACCCAAAAGGGATTATATACTATGAGACTATTTATTATTGGTACAAAGATGTCACTTTTCTTTTTAGATAGTACGCCATGATATTCAAAAAAAATTATTTTGGATAGTGTGCCTAAGCACTAACATATCCTCAACAATTAGTAATTATTGTGACCTTTTTGTATCAAAAGTAAATGGTTTCATTTTATATATTTTCCTTACTGAAAATAACGGATACATATGGGCTCATATTTTTTGTGTGTATAATTCTTTTAATTCTTATTTGGAGTGCCTAAATGACGTGCACATGTATTTAAAATCTGGGTTCACGAGACTCTTATTTTTAAGGGAAAAAAAAGTTATAAAATTTGGGTTCCATCGTACTTCCCTCAAAAAGATTAAAAACTAAAAATAAACTTTTATTAGAACTAAAATTATAGTCCATCATAGCCCTACTGTCTTCAAAAAATATTCTAACATGCAACTTCACTGATGTGAACTTCAATATGGGCCATCAGGCCTAAACCGAGCCATACCCATGAGCCTATGTGGTAGTTTCCCCTGATATACAATAAAAGGAAATTATTTATTGAAAAAATAAAAGGGAATTTATTAGTTTAAGATAGAGCGAACAATTTAACACTTTACCCATATCTTTTGATTAAATTTCATAATAGCCATAAGAAAATACTCGCCTTGAGGTAGAATAGTTGCAAATGGGCAAAATAATAAATACTCCATCTTTAATGAGCATTTTGATAAACTTCCCTAAAATAAATGGAATTGAAAATTATATACTACGTAAACAAATACTATGAGTACAAGGTATGGGAAGGGAAAAATATCCTAAAAATGTTTAAATGATCAACACAATTAAATGGTGAATAAATAAATAATAAGAGTAAAAGGTTGGGTAAATGAAGCATTTTCCTATAGAAATATTTAAATGATGCAAACAATCTACCCTTTTTCCTTGAAACTTCACTCACCTTAACTCTAAAATATTTAGGTACTTTTTAATCACTGTGGCCACTTTCTAAGCTG